TACTATTTTCAATAATTATTTTACTATGTTAAAAAAAAAATAAAAACTAAAAAAAAAAAAAAAAAAAAAAAAAAAAAAAAAATCGAAGTATTTTGATAGAATTACAGTAAAATGACATCGTCATGCCAACATCTCATTATTGAAGTTGTGCCTTCTTTACTTTAGCGCTGGTATTGGTGAATATTTTTACACTATAAAACGAGGCTAACGCTGAGTAAATGCGTCTATAATCAAGACCCACATTGGTACTGTACGGATTCCAAAAAGTTCCATGAAGCGTAACCCCGAAAATGTCAACCCAAGACCGTTAAGGACCACGGGTAGGCATTTTTTAAATGGCTAGTTCCAAAGACCGACTACGACCTTTCACTAATTTTACCTGCTAAAATATATGTCCATTGATTACTTGTAACTCCTACTTGATCAAGATCTAGTCTTTATGTTCTCATTTATGATAGTCTTAGCTCAAAATCCTGGCCAACTTTGACTGTATGTGTTTTGAGTTGGAGATTTAGAGCTGACGTGAATTCATTTACGAGACCAACAGGATGTTAATATATAATGTAAATTTTACGTCAATCATGCAAGGAGCATTTGGTCAGAGCCTCACATGCCAAAAAATAAGCTCATGGCTAAATCGTTCAACGCCAGATTAAACTGGAATTTAGAATTGAATTTTGTTGAGGGTTGAAAAAAACAAATAGCCAGAACAATAAACTCGTTCCATTTAATGAGTTCAAACATGGATTTTCTTTATGAATTTTTACATGCACGACTTTTAGAAGAGCGTGCTCGCTCTAGACTCATCTGCTTGTATAAATAAAGTCACTATTTATTTTGCTAAGAGTTTGGAAATTTGTTTGCCGGTCGCTTATAAATAGTGCTCTTAGAATGCATGCGACAATACCAAGTGCAGATTTTGTTTTTCACGTTTTTACGTCTGTCACAACACATACACCGACAAACTGTTTGCGAAATGAGTCAGTATTCTCAAGGAAAAGTTTGTTTTTGCTTTCCGGAGAGACTTGGGATATTTGACATAAAGATTTTAGTTTTGATCATTATCAGCGAAGATCATGTTAAAGCTGGAGCCGATTTGAAAGCTGTGTAAGACGTGTAAGTGCGATGAAGGTAAACATGGTTTGCGAGTGTTTGAACTATAAAGGTGAAAAAGTGATTTGAAGGAAGCTGATGTAATTTCATCAGAAAGAAAGAAAGAAAGAAAGAAAGAAAGAAAGAAAGGAAGGAAGGAAGGAAGGAAG